ATCAGTTAATTGGAAAATCGAAATACTGATTTTTTAGATCTAGCACAGTCTTTTAAGGCATGATTTATAAATGCATATCATCAAGTTTAGTTTGTATATAAGCGATTATAAATCTGAAAATTAAGAAAATGACTCAGATCATACGTGGTCAACCGATCTTGTCAAGGTCCGTTTATTTGATTTAATTTTTTTTATGTATAAGTTATATATATATATATATATATATATATATATATTGTTTCATAAGTATTTTTTGTGTATATATTTCTGGCCATAACCTAGTCGTGGATTGTTCATTGACTGAGCTTTTACAAATCCCAGTATAGACAAAATTGTTTATAACCGGTTATAAATGTATCTTGCTTTTATCGGTCGTTAATTGATTCAATAATCATAAATGATAATCGTTTCGGACTGTAGGACTGAATCGGTCCAACAACTAGGTTTATAAAGGATTGGTGTAAGCTTAACCGGCTACTGGTCTGTTTCATGTCCGAACCCAGTTATACATCTCTAACATAATCCGTTACTTTTAACACCGTGTTAAAATTGAAAATACCTTTTAAGTAGAGTTTTATCATGTATTCCAGTAAAAATATTACCAAATTTCTTTGTTACAGTATCAAGCAATGTTTATTGCTTACTGTTTTATTTTGTAACGTGGATTTATATAACTAAATTTTCAATATTTTCAAAGTTTCTATAGATTAGTAGTCTTCGGCTGGAATAGTTGGAGTTTGTCCAACCGTCAGATCTAGGACTTTAAGTTGAAACAACGGCCAAGATGGCAGATTACTATAAATGGTCGATTATGGTATTATTTTGTTTTGGGATTCAACACTAGAAACATTATAATGAAGATGTTTTCATCTCCAACCTAACATTGAAACACTAAAAACTAAGGTCAATAAAGTATACCTCTATATTTTTTATATTAGTATTATAATGAGAGTTTATAATGACACACACACACACACACACACACATATATATATATATATATATATGCCCATTTAAAGAATAACTGATTAGTTTGTGATAATCGTGAGATCTAATGTGAACCACTCGCTTGAGATATTTAAGAATATTTCTTAAATAAGCTAAAAGGGTAATATAGTAATTCCATTTGTTGACAACTAATCAAAATATTTAATTAAATATTTTATAAGGAAATATTTAATTAAAATTAGTTACCTAGTATATCAATTACCTAATATACACCGTATTTTAAAGACGTTTGTGAATCATAGTGATAACGTTCACAATTTTCACGTGTGTCACAATGTATTTTCTTTGTTTTATGAAATGTATCATAGTGTGTATTTTTGTTATTTTCATTGTTTTACAAATGGTATCACATTGTGCATCTTGTATGTATATATGGGCATTATAGTGAATATATTTTGTAGGTATCACGGTGTGTATCTTGTGTTCACATAAGGTTCATAGGAATAAGGTTCGCCAAATAAGAGTAATCGAAAAGAGGATATTTATAAAATATCTAAAATACCCTTAATTAATATTTTAAGTTAAAATTACCAAAATTATTAATTTCTTAATTTAACATTTGATTTGTGGTTGAGATTAGATCTCACGGTTACCACAACCAAAACAGTTTTCATTTAATTAGGCCTCAATATACATACATATATATATATATACACACACACACGCGCGCGCACGCTCATGCACACACATACAAAGCATGTGAGATCCAAAAAGATGTTGAGAACCTTGAAGACTAATCTAATCCATAGATTATATTAAATCAAAATTCATTTAAAAAAGAAGCTTATTTGAAATAAAATGGTGAAATAAGGACGCTTTTGTCACATTAGAAGTAACTAAAAGGGTATTTTGGGCATTATATTATTAAAATCAAATCAAATCAATTTGGGACACCAAATCTTTTAGATATCATATTTGAATGTTCAAATATCCAAAATTTCTACAGGCGAACGCCTTAATAAAAACCCTAAACGCTTAAGTCCGAGCATCGTTAATTCTCCAACCATAATTTTCTTGTGAATCCCGAGCACATAAATATTCCTACCAAAAGCCCTCGTTCCACCCACAAAACTCCCCTTAAGAAACTCATAATTGTTGTTTCATTCCTCTAAGTATTTGAACCCTCAATCGATCGCTCAACAAAATTCCGAACCGTAGATTACTTGAAACAGCTAATTAGGAATTGCAGTCGTAATCAGCCTTAAGAATTTGACCATCTTCTGCTGAAATTGAAACTCAATCTTCAAAGTCAACAGTTGTATGCATGTATGATAGTTGATGTAAATTTTGTCGGATTTGTAGAGAGTTGCAAGAACCCAAAAACAATTGGGATGGAGACGAATAAAATTCGATTCATAAGGTGAAATACTGTCATTATGTTTCAAAGGTTACTTTGAACTGGGAATATGTTTATAATCCTACTTATGATTTTGAAAACAGTGAATGTTGTTTTATGACTTTGAAACAATGAATTATGTTTATGACTTTGATACACTCTCGTTATATTTTATAAGGTGAATCAATATATGTTTCATAAGGTGAGTTTGTTTATGTTTCATAAAGTGAATCTGATTCACAAGATGAATCTGTTTACTTATTGAATATATTTAAATCGGGTTAGAAGTCGTCCCGTACCAGATATAGAGCTCCCAAACACAATACCGGGAAAGTACTGTATGCGGAACCTCAATATCCACTCGTTTATTAGCTAAAGGGCAATTGGCGCATACAATACGTCTTTCTTGCCAAGGAATCTTCTTTTTAGAATTTATTGTTACGATGGTGAAGAAATTGAATCAACGGTATCAAATGCAAGCTCTGATAAAGTTTTATTCTTATTTATGGAGTACAACGACCTAAAGTAGCCACCAAACACGAGAGCAAGAATTTGCAGAAAATAGGGACTTTCTGCTTTGTTACGCAACTTTAAACGCAATCAATTATTAAATTATATCAACAATATTGCACGTTTGCTCAACGTCCAGGTCTGTTTCGATAACATCAAACAAATCGTAATCATTAAATTCACCATGAACACAATTGTCGTTTGAATCCCACCGTTTTTAGTTCAATTTCTTGTTGAAAATTTTCGAGTTTGGTCTGTAATCTTGAAAACAATATATGCAAACTTGTAATCGAATTGGTTTTGCCGTATCTTGTAAATAACAAATTGACGAGGATGATTGTATGAAACGGATAATTATGATAGATAAATGAGATAATTATCTGGTTCCAAACAAGAAGATCAGGTCAAAACATGGAATCACTACAATGTCCTTTTCAGATAAAAAAAAAACTTTATTTATCATGGCCATATAATCAAAATCTAATTATGGATGAGATTGGTTTTTACGGTTCTCAATTTTTTCATGATTCTCATTTGATTACCATCGTACATGTGTGTATATATATATATATATATACACACACAAATATGTTTGTAATATTAAAGATGTTTAAATGTGGAATTGTAATTGTTTTTTAGTATTTAATAGACCATTATTTTTAGTGTTATCTATACTACATTATAAAGCATTTGACAAATACTCTTAAAAACTATTTTTTATATATGAAGTTCTGTTTATTGATACATATTACTTAAAATTCGAGATTACAAGTAAACTATGCATAAATATAACTTATTAAAATTTAATGTTTGAATTCGTATAATTAACTGCAGATAAACATAATCAATTACATAATAAACATCTCAATTTTAAATATAAAAAATTTAAAATATAATTAAGATAATCATTGAATTATACGTATAATAAAATACTTAATTATTATCTTATAAAAAATTATATTATTAAACCAAAATAATTTATTTTGTTATTAAATCTAAATTAAATTACAATAAAAATTTTGAATTAATAAAATTACATAAAACAAGGAAAATTTTTAAATAGTTAATTTAATAATAATATAGAAATATTTTTTAAAATTTTTATGAATAAAAACATTATCGTTTTGTCAAAATCATATAAAATCGTATTATATCGACATAGACAATAAATAAAAACATTATCTTGATATATTTCGCTATATTATAAGACTATTTGACTGGTTTGTTTTAATAGTTGGATTAAGGATGGTTTTAAAGTGGGATTGTTAGTTGGATTCCAAGCCGAATGACCAAAAGACAAAGGCAGCCGGCTCCCCCTTAGCATCTACTTATGAATAGTACAACCAACTTATCATCCAAAATGTAAGCATAGAGTGATAAGTCGATATACTTATCACCCACTCTCAATTTCCAATTGCTACAAAATTCTCCCATATCCTCTTCAATAATGTCTTATTTTTTTTCTAATTTTTTCCGCACGATAGGTAAGATAAACCCCACACACAGACACACACACACACATATATATATATATATATATACAATTATATATGTATATATAAGTGTGTAGAGAGAGAGACCCTGTCTGTATTCTTCTACCTCGACCTCCTCCTTTCTTCATCTCTCTTCCATCGTCAAGCGATCTTGCTAAGGTGAATCCTTTTCAGCTCAATCTCTGTGTTTTCTTGGAATATTTTGCTTAAAGTACTCTTTTTTTCCTCTCTCTCTACACACACACACACACACACATATATATATATGTATATGTATATGTAACTATAATTAATTCTTGACTTGCTTTGGTCTTCCCATTTGCAAACCCTTTTCTTTCTTTTGCATCTTCAGTTCCCAGTGTTTAAAGTTGCTTTCTTCTGTTTGATCTGTCAAAGTTTTCTCCCCTCCTTTCCAATAAAAAAATTCAGGGTTTTTGTGATTTAGTTAGATTGAAGATGAAGGATCTAATTTTGGGTTAAAGGGTTTTCAAATATTTTCATTTTACTTTTTTTTTTATAAATCTTGAAATTTGTGTCCAAGCATTAAATGTTTTCTTTTTTGTGAACCTGGTCCTAGCAATAAATAATTGATTAACTTATTTGGGTAATCTTTCAAGTGTTTGGATGAAGCTAAGGGTAGCCGACCTTGTATTTCTTTTCTTACTTTCTGGGTTTTTTACAGATCTGCTTCGTTAGAACCCTAATTTCGTTTTCTTGATTTTGGGGACGGCGGAGCTGCAATGTCGTCTCTAAGTAGAGAGCTTGTGTTCTTGATCTTACAGTTTCTCGATGAAGAGAAATTTAAGGAAACTGTTCATAAGTAAGTGTTTGAATACCCATATTTGTCGATGAATTAGGTTTTTATGTTCTTAAATCTTTAGTACTTTTTGTGAACTTATATGTTTGTTTTTTTGCCTCTGTTTTTCTGGGATTTTATCATAGGTTGGAACAAGAATCAGGCTTTTTCTTTAACATGAAGTATTTTGAGGATGAAGTGCAAAATGGGAATTGGGATGATGTTGAGAAATACCTTTCTGGGTTCACAAAAGTGGACGATAATCGGTATTCGATGAAGATCTTTTTCGAAATTAGGAAGCAGAAGTATCTTGAAGCATTGGATAAGTAAGCCTTTTCTTTCAAGTGAATTTAAACTTGTTTTGTGTGAATCTTTGAGCTTAAATAATGGTGAGTGTTCGAATTTAGCTTGTTTCATATGAATCTTTGAGCTTAAATAATGGTGGGTATTTGAATTTCTGTAATTTATATGAATCTTTCAGCTTAAATAATGGTGGGTGTTTGAATTTAAACCTATTTTGTCTGAATCTTTGAGCTTAAATAATTGTGGTTATTTGAGTTTATGTAATATGTGTGAATCTTTGAGCTTAAATAACGGTGGGTATTTGAATTTATGTAATTTAGGCATGATCGATCAAAGGCTGTCGAAATTCTTGTGAAGGATCTTAAAGTTTTCGCTTCATTTAACGAAGAGCTTTTCAAGGAGATAACTCAGTTGTTAACTTTGGAGAATTTTAGGTACGTTAAAGCGTAAATGTTGAAGATTTCGAATACTAGATGGTGGTAGGAATGTTTCTTTATAACTCTTTTTCTATTGGTGTTGAAGGGAAAATGAGCAATTGTCGAAATATGGAGATACAAAATCAGCGAGAGCTATAATGTTGGTTGAGCTCAAGAAGCTTATTGAAGCAAATCCTCTTTTCCGTGACAAATTGCAGTTTCCAAATCTTAAGAATTCTAGGTTACGAACTCTAATTAACCAAAGGTATGCCGTATAAGCGTTTTATGTCGGCATAATCATTACGTTGACAAGAATGTGGATGGAGTTTTATACAAGGCAAAATGCATTAATTTTTTTTTCCTCTCATTGGATGTAATAAAGTTTCAAAATTTCCTATTTTGTACCCATTTAGACCGGTACCCTACTGATTCTGTAACATTTGATGACATGTACACCCATATACGTATAGGGTTATGGCGAAGTGAACGATGAACTTGACATTTACGTCATCAAATGGTACACGATCAACACGTTACAGGGCCAAATGTGTAAAACATAGAAAATTTTGATAACAAAAAACTTTGTTACTTTAAACAGGAACTAACACAAGCTTCATTGCATTTTGATGTATTTTGCCCTTATATATATATGTGTGTGTGTGTGTGTGTGTGTGTGTGTGTGTTAAACTGATATTATCTATTTCTTGGTGCAGCTTGAATTGGCAGCACCAACTTTGTAAAAACCCAAGGCCAAATCCAGATATCAAAACTTTGTTTGTAGACCATTCGTGTGGACAACCAAATGGTGCACGTGCTCCATCACCTGCAAATAATCCACTTCTTGGACCATTGCCTAAAGCTGGTGGCTTTCCTCCTTTGGGTGCACATGGGGTTTGTTTTATGCCCTACTTAACTTTGTTCATTGACGTAATTAGTGAAGTAGCAGAAAGTTCATTTAGGAACCATTAATATTTTGAGAACCAAGAAAACCATCTATTGAATGCACCATTCATTATGAATATACCCAAGTATTCATGAATTTATCACAATATTCATCATGAATAATGCATGAATAGTTGGTTTTCACGGTTCTCAATATATTTACAGTTCTCAAATGAACCTGCCCCTAGTGAAGTATATAAGTTTCGACAACTTTTGACCTTATTGGTGTATTAATGTTGCAGCCTTTTCAACCTACACCAGGTCCAGTCCCGACCCCTCTTGCTGGTTGGATGTCTAATCCTCCAACCGTATCTCATCCGAGTGTATCTGGTAGTGCAATTGGTCTTGGTGGTCCATCTATTCCAGGTCATTTTTCTATGCAAGTTCAAAAAAGATGCTTCATATTATCTGATTACTACCCCTTAACACTTCTGTTTGATTTGAGACTTACAGCCGCTTTGAAGCATCCGAGAACTCCACCGACAAATCCTTCTTTAGATTTCCCATCTGGGGATTCCGATCATATGAGCAAAAGAACAAGAACCATGGGTATAAATGAGGAGGTAATTTGAGGTGAATGTTTGAATAGTATTTATGTCTTAATGGAAACAACTGCTCTACTCTTTCGGGTGGTGGTCAGGTCCGTGTACATTATCGGACCCTACTTTCGAATGGATGAAATGGGTTCATTTAGTTTGCTTGAATAGTATTTATTTAGCTAGATTATGAGCATTGCAAGAGTGAAATTTGTGGCTATGTTGCATTACGCAGGTAAATCTACCAATTAATGTGATGCCCGTTTCATTCCCGGGCCATGGTAGTCATAGTCAAGCTTTTAATGCACCCGATGATTTGCCCAAGACGGTTGCACGAACTTTGAACCAGGGTTCATCTCCTATGAGTATGGATTTTCATCCTATTCAACAGACGTTACTTTTAGGTAATCATGCATCTTTTGGCTATTGTCAACATTTATGGGTGGGGAATGGAAATGATAATCATTCATCCTATTGAATATTGACTTTGTTGTTACATGAATATGATGCACCAGTCGGAACAAATGTGGGCGACATCGGATTGTGGGAAGTTGGTTCTCGGGACAAATTGGTTCTTCGAAATTTCAAAGTGTGGGACCTCAGTGCTTGTTCGATGCCTATGCAGGTTTTAAACATTTTACTTATGATTCCATTCATGTCTTCAGATACCTTTCGACTTCTCATAGTGATCTTATCGTTTTACTGAACTTAGGCTGCTTTGGTCAAAGATCCTGGCGTCTCCGTGAACCGTGTAATATGGAGCCCAGATGGTTCATTGTTTGGTAAGTCCTGCTAAATCGCTATATTTAGTCAATATTATTAGGGTAAAATGCATCAAAATGCACAGAAGTTTGTCTTGGTTCCTATTTAATGTAACGAAGTTTTAAAATTTCCTACTTTTTAAACCCATTTTTACCAGTAACCTGTTGATCTTGTAAGATTTGATGACATGGAGGTCAAGTTTACTGTCCACTTCTTTTGTAAACCTTTCTTAAATTGGTGTCCATGTCATCAAATGTAACTGGATCATCAAGTTAAGTGGCATTTGCTTTGTTAACTCATGTGCACCTAGTAGATAATTAATCGGTCTGATTTCATTTCACGTGAACAGGAGTTGCATATTCAAGGCACATTGTACAAATATATTCGTATCACGGGGGTGATGACGTTAGACAACATCTTGAGGTTTGTTTAGTTCCTTTTTTGCTGCTACTCTATGTATTCTTGCGTGCACGTTTGATGACGGTTGATTCTTTTTGTTGTAGATTGATGCCCATGTCGGTGGGGTAAACGATCTTGCATTCTCTCATCCTAATAAGCAGCTTTGTGTGATAACTTGTGGAGATGATAAGACCATCAAGGTTTGCTCGACATAGAACTTGTTTTCGATGAACTATAATAATATGCCCCTAGGGTGTAGTGTAGTTGGTTCCGGGGTGGTATGCTTTCACAAACAGGCAGGGTGGTGTCCTTTGAGGATCGGGCTCTTGAGCTGACCCCAATTACCAAAATTTCTAGATCCGCTGCTGCTGGCGGGTGGTGTGGGCCTGCTCAGCGGTTGCTGGCTATAAACCCTTTTTAACCAAGTTATACTTGATAATCCATAATGATACTAATCGAGATTATGCTGTCTCGTTTATTTTCCGGTGATAGTAGGTATGGGATGCTGCAACTGGTGCAAGACAATACACTTTTGAAGGTCACGATGCTCCTGTATATTCCGTATGCCCGCACTATAAAGAGAACATTCAGGTAACTTATTTGTGTTTCCGATTGTTGTTCTCGGTACCCTTTTCTCAAGCCAAGGGTGTTTATTGAAACAACGGCTCTACTTGTTGGGGTTGAAGTTAGGTCTGCTTACATCCACCCCTGAACTCGACCTCACCTCCGGGTGGGGACTAAGCTTGTTTGGTTTATTATGTACTCAAAACTTCTATTTTCGTCAGTTCATATTTTCAACGGCTCTTGATGGGAAGATAAAAGCTTGGTTATATGATAACATGGGATCCCGAGTTGATTACGAGGCTCCCGGTCGCTGGTGCACGACTATGGCGTACAGTGCGGATGGAACGAGGTTTGGTGAATTTTGACTAACGATTTTGTGCTATATGCAATCATCCGTTCTAAATAATGTTCCGGGTTGTAATTGTTTTCTTTTCTCGATCGGAAATTTTAGACTTTTTTCATGTGGGACAAGTAAAGATGGGGAATCACACATTGTGGAATGGAATGAAAGTGAAGGAGCTGTGAAAAGGACATATCTTGGGTTCCGTAAACGATCTCTAGGTGTTGTCCAATTCGATACAACTAAAAACCGATTTTTGGCAGCTGGTGATGATTTCTCGATTAAGTACTGGGATATGGACAACACTCAACTTTTGATGAGTGTTGATGCTGATGGGGGTCTTCCGGTAATTTCGTTTATCTCACAATAAAGACTTGATATTAAGTGAAGTGTTTTATAACTGGTTCCTTTACTTGTTCTAATCTTTTTAATCGATTCGAAATTGAAGGCAAGCCCACGAATCCGATTTAACAAGGATGGCGCGTTATTAGCGGTTTCGTCAAACGAAAATGGAATCAAAATCTTGGCGAATTCTGATGGTCTTCGATTGCTTCGGACTTTTGAGAATCTTTCTTATGATGCTGCTTCAAGAACACCCGAAGCTGCAAAGGTAGCTGCGTGTGATTAAGTGAAGAAATCGTGAGCAATCTTTTTGTATCGCTAATTACCATCTGATATCTGTTTGTTTAATTGTTATCTGCAGCCTGCCATAAATACGATATCTGCCGCCGCTGCCGCTGCAGCTGCCGCCACTAGTGGTGGATTAGCTGAAAGGGTTGCCTCCGTTGGCTCTATCTCTGGAGTGGTCAGTGTTCATATTCAACTTAGAACAATATTTACATAGGGCACAGGTTGATTTTAGAACCGTGAAAACCAACTATTCATGATGAATATACCTAAATATTCATCATGAATATCATGCATATTCATGATATTCATTATGAATACTCATCATGAATAATTCATGAGTAGTTGGTTCTCAAAGTTCTCAAAATATTTACGGGTTGTAAAGGAACTTTCCCGTATCCATATATTTCTTTAATATATATATATATATATATATATATATATTCTTGCAATTTAATAGTTTATAAATATGGTTATGGTAGAATGGAGATACCAGAAACATGACCGATGTAAAACCACGAATTACTGAAGAATCAAATGACAAATCAAAGATTTGGAAGCTCACGGAGATAAGTGAATCTTCTCAGTGTCGGTCACTGAAGCTTCCGGAAAACATGAGAGTAACAAAGGTATGTTATGGCAACATGTTTACAAAAGTAGTCGTTTTTGCACAAAGAAGAGCCGAAAGTTTCATAATTTCTTTATTCTTTTTATTGTTTAGATATCGAGGCTGATATATACGAACTCCGGAAATGCCATTTTGGCATTAGCATCAAATGCTATTCATTTATTATGGAAATGGCAACGTAATGAGCGTAACTCAAGTGGCAAGGTAAGGTTGATGCTTATTAAGATACAAGTTTCATAATCCGTAGTCAACAGCAGAGATGCACAAAAGCCCGGCCCAAAGCCTAGGTCCAGTCCTAACAGCCCGATCTGGTCTATTTTTACACCCAAAGGGCTCAGGCTCTTTCTTTGCTTGCTGAAAATGGGCTTGGGGATCTTGGGCCTAGGCCCAGTCCTTAAAGCCTGATGGGGACTATTTTTACACCCAAATGGCCCGGGATCTTTTTTTCTGTTTACTGAAAGTGGGCTTGGAAGACTCGGGCCTAGGCCCCATAAAGCCTGGGCCTTTTGCGGATCTAGTCAACAGTTCATAATTCACGACCCATTTTGCAGGCAACAGCCGGCATTTCCCCACAACTATGGCAACCTTCAAGCGGGATTTTAATGACGAATGACGTGGCTGACATGAACCCGGAAGAATCCGTGTCTTGTTTTGCTCTGTCCAAAAATGATTCGTATGTGATGTCAGCATCAGGAGGAAAGATTTCTTTGTTTAACATGATGACTTTCAAGGTAATGTTGTTCTTTCTTTTCTACCACTTGAAGTAGCTTCTTAGAAAACTTGCTTATAGCTAACTAAATGGGGCTTTTTCAATAAGCTTAAAGAATATGCTGGCTTATAAGCTAACTTATGGTTACCAAACACGACCTTTCAACATCTTGAATTGATTCGATTAATACGGGCAACTGCAGACAATGACAACATTCATGGCTCCGCCCCCAGCGGCAACGTTTCTTGCTTTCCATCCTCAAGATAATAACATCATTGCTATTGGTATGGATGACTCCACAATCCAGATCTATAACGTTCGTGTCGATGAGGTACGTATCACAGACTTTGACAAGTTTTCGATACACACACGCACACACACACACCCAATTCATTCTGATTATGATTTCTGCTCACACTTTTGCACAAGTTTGGGGGACCTTCACGGACAACCCCCTCTACCCTTTGGGGCAGAGGACAAGTCTGCCTACATCCCACCCCTCCGAGATCCTACTTTTAAGCGGTATATACCGAGTTTGTTTGGTTTAGTTTTTTTTCTAATCATCATTTTCGGCATAAAGGTGAAAAGCAAACTTAAAGGCCACTCCAAAAAAATCACTGGGCTTGCCTTCTCTCACGTGCTCAACGTTCTTGTCTCGTCTGGTGCAGATTCTCAGGTTCGTAAAGATCAAGGACGTCGTGAATGCTTAATTTTGACGTATTACTAATGTTCTTTATGATTTTTAGCGGAATTTTGATGAGAATATACATTAATTTATTCCGTTTATGTGTAATATTCTTGTTTTAGATTTGTGTATGGAGTTCTGATGGATGGGAAAAGCAAAAAGCTAAATACTTGCAACTTCCTCCGGGGAGGACAACGGCTGCACAGTCTGATACACGAGTGCAGTTTCATCATGATCAGATCCATTTTCTTGTAGTCCACGAGACTCAGCTGGCTATATACGAAACATCCAAACTAGAATGCGTAAAACAGGTGAGAAACTCGATTCTTGATCATCTTTTATTATGTCCTGTCTTCGATGGAAATAGTCCCACTATAATAAAATCGGTTTTATAGGACGTCGGATATGTCTAAATGTCTTAATAGACTGCTTTATTGAGCCAAACAATTGTGGATCTTGTGTAAAGGTGTTACAATAAGTTGATATGACGCTCTTTTAGCACAATTTTGAAACAAAGTGTTCTATTTGTCTTTTTATATGACATTATTTGAAAAATGCTTTATGAAAAGGGGTGTTTAGTATTCTTTAAAAAAAGCTAATAGGACACTTTATTTTAAAGTAAGTCCTAAAAAACTTGTTTGGCTGCCCAAATACATCCTATCAGATATTGTAACACCTTTATACAGGACACACAATTGTTTGGTTCTATGAATTTAAGTCTTACGAAGCAGTCTATTATGACATTTAGACATATTTGATGTTCTATAAAGTTGATTTTGTTGTAGTGTCACCCCTGGACCCCACCTTCGGGTGGATATATTGGGCTCGCTTGTTTTGTTTATCTTGTTCTTGACAAAATTATATATTTTTCTTGTTCCAATTGTTGCTTCTTCAGTGGGTCCAACGTGAATCTTCTGCCCCTATATCGCACGCCACGTTTTCATGCGATAGTCAGTTGGTTTACGCATGTTTTGCGGATGCAACTGTATGTGTGTTCACTGCGTCTCACCTTCGCCTCCGCTGTCGCATTAATCCATCTGTTTATCTTTCCCCGAGTGTCCTCAGGTGAAATTCTTTAACGAAGTTCAGTTTTGGTATGCTTTTACCCCTCTACCCAACTTGCACAACAATTCTCAAACCTTCTAGCGTTTTTTGCAGCAATCTAAACGTGCACCCAATGGTAATTGCGGCTCACCCACAAGAACCAAACCAGTTTGCACTAGGCCTTTCAGACGGTGTGGTTCATGTTTTCGAACCACTTGAATCAGAAGGCAAATGGGGGGTGCCACCACCTGCAGAAAACGGGTCAACAAGCAATGTAGCGGCATCGTCACCGGTCGGAGGTTCGGGATCGGAACAAGGGCAAAGATGACGGAATCGTCTGCAGCAACACAAGTTCTTTTAAACGCTTGTTTTGCTGGCGGTTTCGAAGATTTAGGGGTGTTGCTGGTGTTTATTGACCTGTAGATCTAACTTGGTTGTGTGCAAGATTTAGGTTAAGTGTTTCTAGGGTTCCAAATTCAAAATGGTGAAATGTTGTTTATTTTGTATTTCCATGATAAGGAATCCATAAAGTTGCTTCCTTTTTTTGGGATTATTGACGAAAACTGTATGAAAAAGTGTTGTGTTAGAAGTTCGGTCTCGAAATTGTCGAATTGAAAACGATGGCTTGGTAAGTTCATGCATTTTACTATGCAACCTGCAAAAACGGTTTGGGTTGCGGATGACCCTGATGAAGCCGGATTGGTGGTCCATAACCCATCCGAAGAGTTTGTGGTTGGATCAGATCTTTTATCCGAAGAGTTGTGGTTAGATCAGATCTTTCATGTGCACATAAAGCATGGGTCTATTCTTGAACCGGGCATGGATCGGCCTTGAATATCTCCTTCCATGTTGCCCTCTAACCCTGGATCAGGTTAGACAAACCGAGCCTGGTTCATGCTTGAGTTATGGTTGGATCAGATCTTTCATGAGCATATAAAGCCCGGGTCTATTCTTGAACCGGACACGAATCGAACTTGAATGTCTCCTTTCATTTTGCTCACTAACCCTGGATCGGGTTAAGACAAACCTAGCCTGGTTCATGCTTTTTTTTAAACGACTTCAACAAGATCATTGGACATTCAAGGATTGGCGAACCGCTTGAAAATGCGTTCACAAGCCTCTGCTAGTATAATTGAAGTGTAGATTGGTTAAGGGGGTGCACAAACGCAAGGGCTCACTGATACAAATCCCTGCTGTTATAATTGAACTATATATTGGTTAGGGGCTGCGCGAACGCATGCCCCCACTGACACAAATTATGACGTAGGTTCAACCAACTTGGGCCGACCTTAGGCAGAAGCCCCTCCGCATGGTGCAATGGAGGTCCGCAACCTAGGCCATGGACCTTCTTGATCGCCCAAAGACCCCGTCCAGGTAAGTGCCTTTTCACATTCTCGACTTCTTCTTTAATAGCTGTCCTTCCCCCTTCCGCTTCTCTCTATTTCTTCGATGTGGGATCAAATCAAATCCACCAAGCTTCTCAACCACATCAATATTCCCATTAATTAGTAATAAATTTAATTCATAGTTGGTAAATAAATAAAATTTAATAATTCTGAGTTACAAAACTTATTTTTGCGTCATAATTCAAACTTGAAATTTTTGGTTTTATAGGACAAATTGGGGCTAAAAAATATGCTTCAACACACTTACTTTCTGATGTATTTGAGTTACATAACATGCAGTTACAGTTAATCTAGATGTTTTTTTGTTGCTTGCTTTTGATCAAGAATCGAATCACTATGGTTTTTGGCAATAATATTTGACTCAAACCCTTCTCTTCAAGTGCTTGGTTACGCTGTTGTAGCATTGTTCACCTTTTTCAACGGCTTCAAGAGAAAATCTTGGTTAGCAATGACAGAGTAATTTAGTAGTTTGACATTTGTTGATGGAAGTTCAGATTATGTAATTTGATGAACTTTATGCATACTGATTATAAAAGAAAAACCAATATCAGCTAATATTGGTATCGTTTGGAGCTGTTGGAGATTCTTCGAGAATCTTATCTTGTCAGTGAGGGAGAAAACTATCATCCAGTTAGTTTTTGCAGGATAAGAGACACTTATCTATGATTTATTTTGATGGATGTTAGATAACATTAAGGCTTTGTTTGTTTCTTTAAAAGAAAAGTTCTTATCAACCTCTTATGTTTGATTCGGTAAGAGGTATAGTCGTTCAGACTGTTTGTTTTTCTCAAATTCTTAGAGCCACTTATTTCTTATTGTCTTTTTATCTGATAAGAGATAAACCAACCTCATACTTGCCTCCTCTTATTGTTCTCAATGTAATAGATAATTTCTCTCAGTTGATCCACTTGGATTATAGTAAAACTCAATTTACTATAATTAAGCGACTTCTTAATTTATATATTATTATCGATTCACCTTATTTATTTAAATGAATGTTAATTTTATAGTTTAAATGTAAATTTCACAACGATGATGGATAAATATATGAAACTGTATATATTTATATATAAATTCAATACTATAATATTCTAATGGGTAAAATTCACAATTTAAACAAATTTAGACATTTTATCAATTTATAAAAATAAACGGTCTTATTGATTCAGATTTCAAACTTCAATATTATATGTTATCAATCAGAATTGAAATAAAAGTTCAGATTTAAACCCCTCTTACAAAACAAACTCCATTTTATATCTCTAACTAAAAATTTTCAGAGTAAAATGGAAGTATTTTGACTTTATTTTAAAGGATAAAAAGCGTGGACTCTGGATATTTGACCAGTTGACCAATATGTGGATTTTTGGTCAAAAACATCAGAAATCTTAAACCCACAAAAGCCCTAATCTGTCAATCAAAACCCTAGAATCCCCTGCAAAAATCCTTCTACATCTCTCCTTGATTAGACCCTAAGTTAAGCCGCAATGGAGACGGAAAGGCGATGCTATGGTGGTGGTGGTGCTCCTCCTGTGGCAGAGACCTTGAATTGGATGGTTCAGACAGTTTTGGTTGCTCAGAAATCCGTTTGCTGGCTTCTGTTTCTGGTAAATCTATACTACATTATCATTATTATTGTTTTTCCTACAAGATCTGTGTTACCACGATTTTCTGCTACTAATTTGGGTTGTTTCTGTGCAATTTACTTCTTACTACGTTGAGTTATTGATGCCTTTGTAATACGTAAGCGTGGTTTTGATTTTGATTTGATGAGTAACGCTGCTCCAGTAAGCAGATCTTGGTAAATTGAAGGCGTTTGTTAAGAAATTCGTTATTGGTTGCTTTTTCCGGAATTACTTCAGGATCTGTTCCATTGATGTGAAATCCGGTCTAATATTCATTTTGATTTACCTTTGATTGCTTAGTATTCATTTATGTTTTGTGGTTTGACAATTGATTGCTGGCTGAAGCTTAGAACAACTGAATTTGCGATTTGTGTTGTATTTTGTTTTGATGATGGAATTTGTAAGACACTGTGTGGTGGCATTGCTTAAATCTCATCAATATGTGTTAGATCTGATTAAAAGAAGCTTCTTGCTTAGATTGGTTGGTGATGTTCATGCCATTGCAGCAGGATTCCTAAAATTGCAATAATACTCCGAGAGTTCTGAGTTTGATCTGCTGTTAATTATAGCTGTCCAAATCTTTTTGGAGGCCCTGTTACACGCATGCTAAATTAATAGATCGTATGAAATGAGCAATAAACAATATAAATATAAAATGTTTAAAATGACACAGTGAGAAGAATACCAAAGAGTCGTTTTTGTTTTTGATCAACAAATTTTGGAATTAAATAGCATCTTTTGATTGTGAAAGAAATTATATGGGTCCTTATTGAGGTCGGTTCACAGGTGGCTATATAAATCTCGACCCCAAGCTTAAGTAAAATTGGGCCCCAAAATTTTGGGAGTCGTGTTCAAGAACCAAGATTTAACATGCTAATAGATGTCCCTGACTCTACTTTACCAATTTCTATCTCGATTGCAATTTTATGATTTTGAATTTTGATCTTCCGTGGCTTGAACAAAACTGGTTGGTAGTGGCAGTACTATGAATCATGGCTTTCAATTATGTTTCCATGATTATATCGTTATTGTCATTTCAGATTGGATCCATACCCAACAATGTTGATGCCTCGACTAACTTGCTTGATGCCGAGAAGAGGTGCAACAGGATTTTTTCTTCGTTTTTGTGCTCTGCTGGCTCTTATACAAGTTGTTAAGATGGGATTTGTGTTGATGCAGGTTTCCTTTAAGTGAACTTAAGAATGTTGCAGACTCTGCTGATGAATGCAAAGATGATAGCGAAACAGAAGACGACAGTGACGATGAAGATGTTGTCGTTGGTGATGACAGTGATAACGACGCCGAAGATTCATCTGGAGACGACAATGATGATGAAGAAAGGGATCCCGACAGTGATTCTGATGCTAACGAGGATGCAGGAAGTGACGACGATGACGACGATGATGAAGATGATGATGATGACGAAGATGATGAGGATGATGATGACGATGATGACGAAGAGGAAGAGAACCAGCCACCCTTTAAGAAGAAAAAATAGGAAAAAAGTATTGTTTTCATTAAGCTCATTTGTTCCATTATCACATTTAGGCATTGAGGGTTTAGACATTAGTAGTAAGTCAAATATTTAGCTAATTTCTTGATGGATATTGAATCCATTTGGTGTTGAGAAAATGTAGCCTTTGTGTTCATGTTTATTGGCTCTTAAATGCAAGTGTTTCTACAGGGTTACACTGGCAACAAAATTTGACACAAAACCAAGAAAAGAATCAATTCTCTTATGAGTTATGCCAAAACCCAACAACATTTGCTTAAAAGGAACAAAGTGACATCTAAAGTCATGTTAAAAACCCATCAAGGTAATTCACTGGCTGGTATACTGTGAATCTGTGATTACAGGGCAAGAGCAGGTGGTTGCAGTCATGAATCTCCGATAGATTCTCCAAAGTTTGATAAAAATTGTTTTCGATAGAATCACCATGTGTCTCTTCAAAACAAAGAAAGAAAGAGTGAGAACAGAAAATTCTGGAGGTATCAATTTTGTATCAAGACAAACTTACAATTCGTATCTAAAATTGATTTTAGAGGTCGTGTACCGCGGCAATCAATAATACATCATATCTTGATTTTAAATTTTAAATTAATTTTTTTTAGAAGTAGATAATATTTATATACAACAAATGCAACAAATAAACTCACACACCATTCTTTACATGAAAATATGCATAGTTGTTATTAAAATGATAATAACAACTTAATTGCGTATGTGTCTCTTCATTTATCTGATCTAGAAATCCTTCTCTTAAACGGTAATGATTTCAATGGAACACTACCAATGGAAGGTAAGCGTTATTTCTTCATCCTTTTACAACATCATTGTTATTGCTTTTAAAAAAGTATTCAAGTTATCGACTCATGAAAAATTGATCCTTAATTATTTAACAAATCCTTTTTTTAATGTTTTTGTTTAAATACGTATATTAATCCTTATTTCACTCTTGTTGTTTTCTAGCTTTCACATCTTTTCACCATTGGAGGTCTTAGATTTGAGTGCTAATGAATTTGTTGGGAGCATCCCATCAACAATAAATGCATTATCACCTTCCATTAGAACTGTCTCATTTGCTTACAACTAGCTCAACGACTCGATACTTGGTATGTTATCTAGACCATTCACGATTTAAAACATACGAAAGCAAAGTTCATGTAGCATATATAGCTACATCCATGTCCACTTTCCGTTACATTACATTAGCCCGATAGTTGATCTTTGACATCATATGACCATGCAAGTGTGAGTCATTACATTAGTCTGGTTGTTTTATTTAATTATTGTCTTTTGACAGGTCTATGTGAGTTGAAGAACCTTCAGGAGTTGTATCTTAGTCACAACATGTTTGAGAGAAACCTGCCTCACTGTTTTAATAGTCTATCATCTCTTAAGTTGTTGGATATTTCTTCAAATCAATTCACGGGAACACTTCCGCCATCACTGATCACCAATCTCACATCTCTTGAGTATGTTGATTTTAGTGATAACAAATTTGAAGGTGCATTCTCATTTAGCTCATTCTCC